TGTCTTACTGGCATGTACATTTGCTTTCATATCTTATGAGGCAGCATTTTGACAAAAGCATTTATTTTTCACATACTACATATCCATGTGTAAGTCATATTGTTTTAACCTTCTAACTACATTACTGAGTTTCAACATACTATCCATGTACATAATGTCATTTTAACACTCATGATTTGCTATGATAAGTTATTTTCAGTACTGTTTGATTGGGTTCACATTTACCCAAGGATGGCTGCTAATGGCTGAAACATATTATAAACCACATATGCATACTTGTATTATCAATACTAGTAAATGAATGATGTTAAGAACAGTGAAGTGTCTTATTTGCATGTTGACAGACAAAAGGGAGTTTGTGAATAAATACAATAAAATGCTTGCCAACAAGTTCTGAAGAAGGTGTTGATTTTATATATATATAAAACTGTAGTATTCATGAATTAGGTGAGATTTCAGGTTTTCATGGTAGTGACTATGAAGATGACTGTCACTGGGTTGTGCCATGTAGTCTGGGTTTTTAATGCACCAATAACAAGCATTTCTTAAATATCCTGTTTTCATAAATTGGTCACACAAACTTTGCTTCACAGTGACACTTAATTAAGTTTTGTGCTTCAGAAATTTTATGTAGAAGGCTAAAAGCTACAACATAGTAACTGCATCTTGGATGAATTTAATTACATGTGTCTGTTTAATCTCTCTGGCAGACTGGTTGAGGAATCCAATTTTCTTCAAGGCAGTGAAAGCATGTGGCCTAATCTTCCTCCTAGAACCTCTTCTAGTGAGCACAGTGACAACAACGTGCATGTTCCTGTAGTGGACAAGTTTGAAGTAAAATCTGAGAAATCATTGGCTGAGAAGACATATAACAAGAACTTTACCACAGAAAGACAAAAGCGTGATGTGAAAGAAACTAGTAATCAGCAGCAAGGCATGCAGAATAAGAAGGTAAAAGACCAAAGTGTGGCACAAGATGATAATATTAGTGCAGATGAAGGTGCTGCCCAGAGATGGTTACCTGGAAGTAAAGGTTCCTTGAAAACAGACAATTCAAATGATTCGTGTTTACAAGAAGAGAAAAGTGTTAAAAATGTGCCTGAGGACATTTTGAATAAAGGTGTAGATGGGTTACAGACAAAATCAAATCCTGAGGTTAACAGAAAGCGGTTTCTGTGTCATGATTGTGGGAAAATTTTCACCTTGAAACATCAGCTTCAAGGCCATTTGCGAACTCATACAGGTGAAAAACCTTACTGTTGTTCTGTGTGTGGGGAGGTATTTGGTTTTGCAAGTTGTTTGAGGAAGCACATGAGGATCCATACATTAGAAAAACCGTACCTGTGCACTGTGTGTGGGCGGAGCTTTAGTCGTGGTGACACACTCACGAAACACATGAGGGGACACACAGGCGAGAAACCGTACCACTGTACGGTGTGTGGAAATAACTTTGGACGACGAAGCACTCTCATTAACCACATGAGAGCACACATGGGAGAAAAACGTTACTTGTGTACTGAATGTGGGTGGAGATGTGTTCAAAGTTATGACTTAACAAAACACATGAAGTGTCATTCAGCTGAGAAGCCTGTACGTTGCAAAGTGGAAAGCAAGGGTCTAACATATGTATGAACAAAGAACAATTTTGTCTACTCACACAAGCGCTATGAATGATGATAAAACACTGTGTACTGAATGTTATTTGTTCTTTGCTGTTTGTAGTACAGATTTATCAAGATAGGTAGAAATACAATGGCATGTACTATTGAAATCAAATATTCCTGATTTAAAACCACAGTGGACTGAATAATTGTCTCCATTATTTGTTATGTTGTAATTTAGACATGAATTCATTGTGTAAGACCCCAAGGGGTGCCCAAACGGGATACAGTGATGGCTCAAATGAATGGGGGTGTCCATGACCATATGAAAGATCTGATGAGGATGACCAGATGACACCACACCCACTTGTATCTCCAAAGGGGTGTCCAAATGTAAGCAACTGACAGGCCAAACACATGTGTCCATTAGTTCACTGGTGACACACCTGGCAAAAGACAATGTGATATCCATATCAACAAGGACCTAACTTCATACAGCATTTTCATGTTGTACTTTTTATCAGTTGAGACCAACAGATATTACCACCAATACTTGGACACACTTGAAGGGCGTTCTCCACTACCTGGCGTCACTGAATCTGAAATGTTTGCGTTTTTAACTATAATTATTCAAATGGGACATGACATGGGGCAGCAAGCAGATTATTGGTTGACTATTAAACAGTTCCTTGCACCTTTCTATGACACAACAATGAAACGTAACAGGTTTTTTTGTGTCATTCATTTGATTCCCATGCTTTTCAAGCAGTTGATATGCAGTTGACAAAAAAAAAGCCCAAACCATGACAGACGATGGAGACTGAAAAAAATATTTTTGACTCCTTGAACAATGCCTACTCAAAATACTATGCTGCTTAACATTTGGTTGTAGACAAAATTATAATACTTTTTAGAGGCAGAGTAAATTTCAAACAATATATGCCCAAGGAACACAAACGTTCTGGAATCGAAACTCAAATTATGTGATTGGCGTGGAAGTTCCCTCCCAAAAGGTTTAGGTTCCAACCAACCAACCAACCAAAAACATTACTACAGTTAGAATCATGCGCAACATATTGTGTACTTGCAAGGGAGTTGAAGGAGTGGATATTCTCATAACAATTGTTTCATTTTTGGTAGCTACTGGTGAACATTTTCCAAGGATTCCCGAGTATTGTGTCAGGTGTTCGCTCCTCCATTCGTTCAGTCAATAGCCAATTTCATTCTTAATACTAGCGGGTAGGAGCCGCAAGTTGGCATATGCTCGATTCCCGTCTTTTGAACGTGCAGCACCTGAAAAACAAGGTTCTCCGCACCGTTAACAGTTTTCCAAGGTACATCCCGTCTGTGATTAGCATGTTTATACAATGTTAATGTGTATGGACGTGACACTGGCGACTCTTAAAAAATGGGTCATGGGTCCCGGTAAGGACTGGACACTAAGACAGACTGGTTGACTGATCATCAATTGTTAAGTGACATGGACTTGCCTTGCTGTTTTCAAATGCTCAGTTTCAGCCAGTGCAGGAATCGTCGAACCCGGTACCTATTATTATGGTTACGAACTGTCTTGGTTAAAAGAACGGAAGAAGGTACAGAATCAGCGATTACAATTGACTAAAAAATGTCCGTCCCGTTGTGACATCTTTCTTAGAAAGCTTTGACATGAAAGGAATATTCCAGAGAACACAAACCACGTAGTCACCATACGGTAATGACAGACCTCAGGCACGTATAAGTAACCATGTGAATTTACAAGTCAGTTATCCGCTTAAGAGAATTAACACAGCATTTGAGATTCTGTAAGGTAATATCAATTATGAGCAATAATTTATGAGACCAATATTGGTATTCTTATATTACAATCTTAAACCAAGGTGGTCATTGATAATTGGAAGACGTTGATGAAATCTTGTTGCCAACTTTCCAAATTCTTTTAACTTTATTCTATAGAACACAGATTATACCTTCCAGTAGTTTGACATTTTCTTCACCGCGTTAGAATAAATATTGGGAATCGTTACTATCTGCATACCAACTCGTCATTCGGATAGAAGGTGAACACAAGAGAATTTGTATTCCATAATTCTCTCATAGGTACAAGCCTAGGATGTTGAACGTGTCTTAGCATAAATGCAGCACTTGCTTGTAATACGAACATAAATTCCGTAGTTATGACAGTAATTTACAGTCAACTGTGAGAATGTTATGATGGTTCGTAGTCCAGATTAAACGTAAGTAGTGGTTTCGTGTCCTAACTTTTGATTTTACTGAAATAAGTTAACTCTTTGAATTACTGACACCTGGATCGAAACCTAACCTATCATTAATGTGAATATAGAAATACTTTAAAGTATATATAAGTGTTCCTCTCCAGTCATGAAAATAAAATGATTTTCCTGAAGTTTCGTAAAGTATGGTTAAGTGGCATGTACGCCTCATCTGAATACTGAATTGTCTGCAAATGTTTAAACAAACAACAATTTGTGAGAATGGAATCATCATAAAAGATGTTTCCAGATGAGAGGTCGTAACTGAAGGATGTGATAGGAAAATGTTCCTGTGAACGTGGATCCAGAAAACCGTAATAAAAAAGTGACAGTCGATGATTCCATACTTCATCATGGAGTGAAACTAGACGAAATAAAATTTGAATGTGTGAGTGTTGCTAACATACAACATACATCAGAGTAATATGCTCTTCTGAACTTAGGAACAAGTTTATCAGTATGATTTTCCCAATTTAGGTGGTTATCAATTTATAAACCCAGGAATTTTGTATTTAATAACTTCTGTATACTCTCCATTGTAACCAATACTTATAAGCATATTGTGATGAGTTATTTGCTATAGTTTTAATTATATATATATTTTTAGGGTTGAATTATTAGTAGTAAACCATTTAATCATATTAGAGAGATCCACATTGCACAGATATCATCTACATTTTTTTAGAAATTGTGACACTTCTGTTGTTGGTGGAAGGTCATTATGATAAGCAAGGGCCCAAAAATTGACCCTTGGGGAATTCCATGCTTTATTGTTCCTGGTTTGAGAAAAAATTCTGATTGTTTTTAGATGAATTTGCTTAGACCTTCTGTTTGCTTTTTGTTAGATAGGATCTGTACCACTGTGCATCTGTACCTTGAATGCCATAAGAATATAATTTAGTTAACAAAATTTAATGTTTTACAAAGTGAAAAGCTTTTGCTAAATCTGAAAATTTCTCCAACATGCATTATTTATTTAATAGATTTTAGCACATTATCTGTTAGTTCATGTTCAGTGGGTACACCTTTACTGAGACCAATATGTTAGTATGTGTATGCTGAATTAACCTATTGAATGTAACCTTAAGTACTTTTTAAAAAGCTGTTAATAATTAAATTTTAGCCTTTAGGTTCTCATAATGTTTTTATCATTTTTCTTGTGCAGTAGTTTTACTACTGGCATTTTTGAGATTGACCGAGAAAATTCCTATGTGTTGTAAATGATTACAAATTTGGGCTAATGGGTGAATAATTAAAGCTGAACAAGCTTTAAAAATTTTACATGTTATTTCTTCATAGCCTGATGAGTTTTGTGATTTCTAGGAATGTATTATAATTTTATCTCAGTTCCAGTGGATGGAATAATTCTAATACCAGGAAATTGTGCAGGATATGCATCTTTTAAGAATGAAACAGCATCTTCTCTCCCCACATAATGAGGACAGTTTTTTGGGGTTGTAGCCTTTGTTCATGTAATCTCCCTGCTGAAACAGAAACTTTCATCTTGCTTAGTGTCTGAACTTTAAAAACTACTTTTACTAGGATTGAAACACAAGACAGGTTTTTGGGGATCTAGCCTTTGTTTCTGTAGTAAACTCTTTGAAACAAACAACTTGTGTCTTGGCACCATTCTTCTGTCTTGCTTAGTTTTTGGGCTATAGGAAGCACCATCACCAAGACTTGAGCATGGTATACATTTCTAAAATCTCTTTCTGGTCTCCAGGAATAAGCATGCCAAGTTTGATGGAAGTTAACATACACACCCACACCCACACCCACTCCAGTAATTTTTTTGATGGAAGTTAACATACACACCCACTCCAGTAATTTCAGTTTTATATATGAGAAAGAAAGTTGTACCAAGATATTACTTTCTTCCAGGTTCCAGGAATGACACATTATTTGGGGCTTGTGTTGGCTATTACATTATCTTCTGTTCACTTGTCAAGCACTGGATATCAGCATGTAAGTACCCGTGTAACTCATATGAAGGTTACTCATAGAAGCAGGAGTGGGGACATGTCTATCACCAAATGCTAAATTTTTGTTTCATTTGTAACTACTAGAACCAACACAAGCACAGTGCAATAGAACAGTACCCAACATGCATATGGATTTGTTGAATACATACAAAAATGTGTCCATATACAGGAGAAAATATTTGATGTAGTTTTGCTAGTGTAACTACAAACAGCTGATTACAGTTGTCTTTATTTTCTTACCTTTTTAACAAACATTCTTATAGGAACAATAAGTTTTATGCAGATAATCCAATCATGAGAAGTGTTGTGTAAAATAGTTGGTTCAGAGTACAGAGGTGGCACTAGGACTGTGTTGCTGTGTAGGAGTACAGTATTAATAATCTTTTACAATGAAATGTGCTAACAGAAGAAGATTTCTTTAAAAAAGAAACCAGCCTGGAAAATATTAATTTAATATAGGTGTAGTGATTGTTGCAATTCTTCGGAAGAGTCGCTGCTTGGAAGAAGTTGGTGCTGTTAATACTTTCATTTATAAAATTTGTCTTTTTACTGTACAGACAGTAAACACCATTATTATCATATTTTGTATGTGCTGCAGGATCTAAAGAGGTTTGTTTGGAGTAGTGGGAAAGATCCTGATGGAATATTCAATTCGGATGCCAAAGCTGCTAGTCTAGCCAACCTCGAACCACCCGACTTTGGAAATAAGGCCTGGACTTATGAAGGCAAAGAGAAATTGCTTAAATCTTCAAAAAATACTGGTAAGTATTATGTAACAAAGATTACCTTGACCAAACATAAGATTACACTTTCAGGGTGTCTTATTATAAATACAAATGTATAATTAACTCTTTGTTGCTGACTTCCATATCCTTTGTCATATTGTATCATCTACATTGGTTCACTACACCAACACATGCACTGTCTCCTATACATTTTTAAAGACTTGTGGTTTTAACATTGGTAAAGATGACGGTGTTGTTCTTGGTTGTAATCCCACATGGACTTGTTAAATTTCGCCTTCTCTGAAAACATCAGACCAAGCATACTGTTGTTTAGTGTTATGAGCTGAGGAGGAATTTTTTAGGTTTGTGTTTACAGGTCTTGTGTAATTAAACCCCCCCACTGCCTTCACCTACATCACTTGTGAGGCACCAGGCTTACACATCTCTGATGGCTATTTGTACAGTGTGACTGCTGACTTTGAATACAAAGCTGGTTACATACTGAAGATTTCTGTCTTCTGGGTTGTTGCGCTGTGTAGTCTGGTTAACATCGACCAGACTACACAGCGCAATAACTCAGAAGACGGAAATCTTCATACTCACTGCTGTGAAAACCTCAAATCTTACATGGTTACATACTAATTGGACCAAACAATGAATTTCCATCCAAGGCTAAACTGAGGTCCAAAACTTATGAAGGAAGATAATACATTAATTAAATGATGCTTCAACCAGGACTGCAGTGTGCGTTAAATATAATAATACCATAGATGCTGGAACTTAAAATCAGAGTTTCACTTATATATCATGATTGGTTTGTTTATACAATGCATATTATACATAAACCCACCATTAGGTCCATCATTCTTATAAAAAGAATTCTGTCTGACATCAGGCTGTGGTGATATGTCTAGAAATGGGTTTTAACAAATATGTAAATTCTTACATTTTGTCAATAACAGCACAAACATTGTGATGCCTCACACAAATTTCAATATTATTTATCATTTACCATCTAAACAAACAGTTTAAAACTCAGATCTTAAAATATTATTGTTAACAAATGTCCAACATTAAAGAAGACAGCAGCATCTTTCACTGAAAGCTCCCAACTTTCCATATGTTGTGGCTTCCTTGTCACCATGGTATGGCACATCCTCAGGTTGTGGATTGAGGAGAGATGGCCTCCAGATATGGAGGGTAGTTGTGAATATATTGAATAAGCAGTCGTGGACAGCCAACAAGGGATGGTTAAGCAGTTTGGGGGTTGGGCGTGGGGCTAGCATCCCCTCACTGTAAAAATAGTAACTCGTTACGAAATGTTATACAGGACCTTTGACTGGGATGGATTCTTTGAATTGATCTAAGTAAAGGAAAATGGACGTGGAATTTGACACATGTAATGTAGGGCAGAGTTATTGGGAAAAATTGCAAGAAAATTAGCAAGGTGTAAGTTAGATTTAATGGGAGTACAGGAGGTTAGATAGGACAGGGGTGGCACTATACCACCAGGAAATTATACATTTTTCTGTTGAATGTGGAATGTTGGTTATGTATTACTGTTCTCAATGTTCATGCCCCAATGGAGGCTAAAACTGATGATGCAAAGGGTAATTTCTATGAGGAACTATAGCATGTATTCAATCAATTCCCGAAGTACCACGTGATAATTTTGTTAGGAGATTTCAGTGCTGAAGTAAGCAAAGAAGATTTTTTAAACCAACAGATGGGAGTGAGAACCTTCAAGTTCCATATTTTGTTGGGAATTTTGTTGAGTGACTGTCGGTTTCTCATTAAGGACTTGATTCTGTGGAGTGAGCAAGTAAATTCATGAGCTCCAAAATTTGGCATGATGATCTATGAGTTTTCTTAATATGCAACCAGTTATTTGTGGTCTTCGTGGCAGTGATGGTAGTGTCACAAAGTTGGGGTCACCATTGATAATACTTGGCATTAATAAGACAGCATCTGCAGTGTTGTATTTATTTCACAAAGGTCAAATACTATGGGAAAACGATGTTTACAATCCTCTACAGCTGGCTGTGAAACTTAAAAACAAAAGGACTGATTATGTGGGCCCACTCAGACTAAACAAGAAGCAAATGGCCAGAAGAATCATCTAATCAAGGATAAGAAATTTAAGAGGTGAAAACTCATGTAAAAGTTAGGATTAGTCACTATTATGAAATGGAGTGACAAAAATGTTATGTTGATTTCCACATACTGTGAGCAAAAACTCAGTCTGAAATGAAGAAGAGAGGAAAATGAGGAATGCTTGTGGTGGTCAAACCCTGAACACGTTGTTGTTTTTGTTGTTGTCATTGTTGTTACAAAGGAAATGAGTGGCAGTAAGCTTTAATGTTGTTATATAGTTCACATATATTTAAACATTATGTTTCTGACCTTTACATAATTTATTTTTGGAGCTTTTTATTTTGTAAGATGGAGAGTAAATTACGAAGTTCATGTCCAGTCAGTGTTGAGGTAAAATGTTTTCTGGATATTATCCATTGTCCAAGACTAAATAAAATCAATTAAAACCATGTCGTTTCGGAGATGCGAGTCTATCTTCGTCTTCAGGTAAAATCTACTCTGTTGGGCCCAATCGATAGAGCTAATCCTTATCTCCTGTATCCAGAAAACAGTTTCCTTCAACACTGTACCATCGTCAGAAACTTTTAGAATTGGCCATGTCATTGTGTTCTTACTTTGACCAACTTTTCTCATATTGAAGTTTGAAGTTATTACAGCATTGAAGATGTTGATATTGGTTTTGTGTTATGTTGCTCTGTGGACTTGTAGGGAGATACCAATATTTTTGACGAATATACTGCCTCCATTTTTAAGGTTGAAGTGTACATGATGTCACAACCTATGAGACCAACAATGATAGCCTCTTTTTCATATCTTGCCTATCCCTTCTTGTTTGTTACATTTCTGCTGTTAGAATGTGTGTAAATCACCTATTACTTTTGCCATATGATAAACATTAAGTAAGTAACTCCTACAGACTGTCAGTTGTGACAGTGAAGTTGGTCAGACTGATTGTGCTGTGTACACAGATGCATCTTTTGTACAAGGATTGACAGGCCATGCCTTTATATGTAACGGCCAGGTATTTTTCTATCACCCCCACAGTTTTAACAGTACCCGCACCACAGTATACTGAGCTCTTCTCAACATAATCTTATCTGTACATACTCCTTCAGCACCTTACGTTGTCTCAGTGATCAGTCTCCTGACCATCCTATCATTGCTGCAATCATGATCCAAGTGTCCCACCTCCAGTATTTGGGAAAGTTTGTTGTGTTTTGCTGGGTACCTGGACACTCCAAAGTGTCTGGCAACGAGGCTGCCAATGCTAAATCTAATAAAATAATTTAATATATTTGTTCATTATTTTAAGATTCTACTGTATTGACTTGTTTTCTTCATACAAAATTCTGTTTAAGTACATCCATTAATATATATATATAATGTGGCTTATTTTCTAGGTTTTAGTGTTGTTGAAAGTTGGCCAGATGCATCAAAGAAACTTGGACAACTCTCAGCTGTCAGTTTTGATGTTGATGGTAATATTGTGGTGTTCCATCGTGGAGATCGTATCTGGGATGGCAATACATTCCTTACTAACAATGTGTACAACCAGCGCATTCTGGGGCCCATCTCCCAACCTACTGTTGTTGTGTTCAATGGATCATCTGGGCTTGTAGTGGAGGAATGGGGTAACAATACGTGAGTGTTTGCAAGCTGTTATCACTTACTGACTAGTTTGTAGATAGAATTGAAACAACATGAATTGGTGTGTGTCTTGTACCAAATCTCAAATCTAGAGGCAAGATAAGATCTGGCCATTCATGTAGGGTAGAGCATCGAAAGCAGGACAAAAGTTTAGCCCAATCAGTTTAACATATACTTTTGATTTAATGCATGGTGAGGTTGATTCCATATGTCAGTGAAATTATTGGAGATCATCAGTGTGGGTTCCATAGTAATAGACCTAGAACTGATCAAATTTTTTGCATTTGACAGATGCTAGAGAAAAGGTGGGAGTGCAATGGAATAATACATCGACTATTTATAGACTTCAAGAAACCCTATGACCCGGTTAAGAGAGAAGCTCTTTGCAACATTTTTCTTGAATTTGGTATACCTAAGAAGCTAGTAAGGCTGGTTAAAATGCATGTAAGTGAAAGCTCTAGCAGAATTCATGTAGGTAAACATTTGTCAGGTGGCAACTAAAGGAACTACTACAATGTGTGGGTCTGACATTATGCAAAGTTAATAGTGAACAGAATTAACACATGTCACAATGGCAATTAACTCACGTGTCCCCTGTACTGCTAACTGCCACGTGCTGTGTCATCCATACTTGTTAAAACAGGTCCATGACATGGCTATTTTTTAACAATTTATGAATGGTCGTTACACAGTTCAGTGTTAATACAGACACACAACTTTGTAAATATAAAGAAGAAATGAATTAATAATTATTAAATATTAATATCAAACATAACCACCCACCAACCCTTCGCTCAGCAAACTTGAAGTGAAACAATGTTATTTGATAGGTGTGTGTACTAGATGTCTTAAATTCTTCAGTTTTGTTCTTACACTTGCAACTCAGATTAAACCATTATCATCAGAATATGTCTGGTCTGTTATACAAAGGCATATAGTTGAATTCTGGATGCTGGAAAATTTCCCATTAACTGATGAGCAGTTGTAGCCTTCAGTTTATAGCAAATAAGAAAGTTGTGTATAACTGTTGTGACTGCCTCTGCAATGCATGTGCTCCAAAATATCTCTTGCAGTGATGGTGCAGTGTGTAATAATTTTAAATGCTGTCTTCTTACAATTAATGTTGTCAGATGGTGTTTTGGAGTAGGATAATTTGACGTTTGTGGTCAAGTCCAATGTCTGATACATTTCCTATTCAGAATTTCCTGAAACAGGGAGATGCTTTATCACTGCTGCTTTTCACTTTTGCCTTAGAACGTGCCAGCAGGAAAGTCCAAGAAAATCAGGGTGGTTTGGAACTGAATGGGATACATCATATTTTGGTCTGTGGTGATGACATGAATCTGTTGGGTGAAAATGTAAATACTATAAAAGAAAACATGGAAACACACTTGATGGCTGGTAGGGATGTTGGTCTAGAAATAAATGCAGAAAAGACAAAGTATATGATCATGTCTCAGCATCAGAATTCAGGACTGAACTAGAATGTAAGGATACCTAATGAATCATTTGAAAATGTGATGAAATTTGAGTACTTGGGCATGGCACTTACAAGTCTGAATGCCATTCATGACAAAATCAAGAGCATATTAAATTCAGGGAATGCTTGCTATTATTCAGTCCAAAATCTTTTGTCCTCCCATCTCATATCGAAGAAACTAGAGCTGCAGAATTTTAGGGTGACTCAACAGTCAATTGGATCCTGGCTTTGAGTTGTATCATGTAGACCATTGCCAGCCCCTTTAGTGGCCTTTCATAGCCGCAATGATATCTTAGTATGTCACTCTGACTGGGATGCTGTGTAGGTTATTGGCAGCTTGTTGCTGCAATACAGTGAACAGCTGCAAATCCTTCTCTCAGGATACCCATTTATTGTAGTCAGCTGCAGTAAGATTGTCATATTTTTGTTTTAGGGAAAATCCATACCTCTTTGAGGAGTTGCTTATGCTATAACAAGAGCTGTGTTGTTTTCTAAAACTGCAGAACATGCTTCTGTTTATTGCTTCTCCCTGGTAGATGATATACTCTTTGCTATACTATTCTTATTCATATAGTTCATTCAAATAATCCTCCATCCCTGTCTAAGTGTCACTTTTTTCCAGACTCAGTTATTTCCATGAAGAGCCTCTGGCATTTGGATTTGAATATGTCTCACAGGGTCACAGAAATGTGTTTTCTTGATGTGTAAATTTTCACGTAGCTCAGAAGTGAAAATTATCCATATACAAATGATGTCCACTTTTTGTCCTGACTCCATTGCATTTGTAGTTGTAGTTGTAAACCTTCATGTCATACAAATATCCATTTTAATTACATAGTTTGTAAGCCTGTATCACAGACTATTTATTGTTGAGGCTATTTTTGTGTTACTGAAATAGAGAAATCTGTGTGCAAGAAATCTATCTTATGTAAGAGGGCATGGAAAACTGCTGTAGTGAGAACAGTATCTTTGATGATTCTCCATCTGTACAAATATTACACGTAGCTCATGTCTTTCCTGTAGTGACATCATTGAACTTGAAGGGACTGGGGAGGAAGGGGTCCTGGTCTGTTTCAAGGTATGAGCCAGGCATTCGACTTTTATGACTGAAGAAAACCCTGTAAATTCTCAATCAAGGTTAACTGTTACCATGACAGACGTTCAAACCAGGCACATTCCAAATACAAGTAAGAACTGTTATCACTTGATTCAACTTGTGTACTGAAGATCACATGTTATCTGATGTTTGAGCCCAATTGTTTTGAATTCTAAAAAACAAAATATATTTTATGTGCTGGAATGCCATTATAAAAATGATATTGGCCTCCAGGGGTTGGAGTGTGTGTTATGAATTATGCAGTGAGGATTAAAAACAAGGTACACAATAAAGTAATTGAGTGTTCTCAGATATGTCTCATTGATAATATTTGATATCTGCAGATTCTACCTCCCACATGGACTTACTGTGGATATGAACAACAGTGTATGGGTGACAGATGTTGCTCTGCATCAAGTATTGAAGTTCCCTCAAGGAGGTGGCACTCCTCTGCTCACTCTTGGAGTTGCCTTTGTGCCTGGCAATGATGATGACCATTTTTGCAAACCAACTGCTGTTGCCGTCATGTCCGCTGGAGACTTCTTTGTATCTGATGGTTACTGCAACACAAGGATCATCAAATTCAATAGGGATGGAAAATTCCTCATGCAGTGGGGACGGAATTCATTTCAAGGTAAAGCTGTATAGTCACGAAAGTTTTCAGCTCCATAAGTTTCTAAACTTTGCTCTATTTTGTACTCACCTGAACTGGTCACACGTTCTTACCAAAGCTGTTTTCTTTACATCCATATGATAGTTACTTATCATTTTCCTGCAATTAATAAACCATAATGAACAGTTTTTCTTGACCTCTCATGGCTGTCTGGTAATATTCTGGGTAATTTTCATTAATAATGCAATAGCTGCAACATTAAACATTGATCTCTTTGCTGTAAAGATGCGCATTTGGTAGTGTCCATAGAATAGCACTGATATTTAGGTAGAAGAATTTACAGTTCTATATAAATATTGTTGCATTTTGCATTGAGTTGAGAGATTCTTGTTAACTCTGTGATTTTAACACTTATGTTTGTGAGGGTGGTTCAGTAAAAACTCACCTGGGGTCAAGTGCATTATATCACTTGAGGTCACTCAAATTTACCTCTTGCATTCAGACATACATCCCACGTAGTCACCAAGTGCTACATGCCTTTTTTGGAGAATTCAAAAGGCTGCTGCTGGAAAAAATATCCATCCATGGTAAGGCTATGAGAGTTCTGGACCATGTAATAAAAGAGGCTGTTTAAATCAGGCTTCACCCCAAAAACATTAACAGGGACATTGGTTTCACTCTCCATCAGTCCTGGTACCCAGTGATTAACATGCTCAAACAATATAGAGACACCAGTCTATACTCTGGGTCAAACTAAGCAAGCACTTGTCTTCATACACAAACCGACCATTGGTTTGCACTCACCTTTGAACACAGGTGCTCACTAAGTATGTGGGACAGTCTGGACGATGATGGGGATGGAGCTGGTCCCTGAAACATCAATTTTTAACCAAGAAACAAAGCTGGTATTATAGAGTTAGATTTGATTACCACATTGTATTGCAACTTGGAATATGCACAAAGGGGGGAAGAAGACGAAGAAAAAAACAGCAGCTCACAGGAAACTCAAGGAATCTTTTTCAACAACAGACTTCTCATAGAAACTGAGAGGAGAATATTGAAGGAGAGAAGCAGCCAATTTCTGTCCTAATAGATGTGACACTTAAAGAAAAATCAACTCATCCCCAATAATCATGTCACCTGCAAACTGCAAAGGGCAACAGGAATTGTTTATGACGACGTGCTTTCTGTTTTGAGGTTCTTGCAGTGGTGAAGTGTTATTTCTGGTCTTCTGGTTTGTATGTCATGTGCGCTTGTAGGTGGTTACCAACAATTTTGAGGAATGTATTTTCTTCATTTTCATCCTGAAGATGAAGTAAAGATGTTAGTAACAACGTACAAGAGCACACAGAGTCAAAACTTAGAGGTCAATGATTGACAAATTCCATAATTCTGTTGCACATAAGAATTTGCTGTGTTCACAATTCGGTATTTTTAAACATGCCACATGCAAAAAGTTTATAAGACGCCATTTTCTTAAAAGTACAAACATGTAATATTTTCTTTTTGTGAGAAAATAGTTCACCAATGTTGAAAAATTTGACACCTTTGTGGTAGTTTCACGAATACAACTTTGGTAAATCAACAGTGTTCAATATTTATTCAGAATTATTTCACGCATTGCCATTTTATTCAAAATACTTTTAAGCGAAAGTGTTAAAAACTTTCATGAAGATTGTATCCTCATTCTTTTTTCCATAATGACATGTTGACATCTTCATTGACATGAATTCCTATATGGTTAGCATTGTAACGTCATCTCATGGATGCAGTCATTCATTGTTCAAGTCTGTAGTGTATCATCGTGGTGTGTTATGTTGATTCTTGTCAGTCACTTTTCACACACTTATAGTTTACAGCAGGCCCGCCCAACCTGTAGCTCGCAGGAAACATGTTAG